TGTGTGTGTGCCACTGTTGAAAACAGCCGACTGCGATTTCGTCCAACTGTTATTTCTGTCATTCTCTGTCAAGCGACCACCACACCCGCAGCCAGACGAGACGGGTGTTAAATTATACAGCCTACCAGCGAGGTGGAGCATAAGTGTGTGTGTGTGTGTGTGTGTGTGTGTGCGCAGTCATGCGGAGGTTCAACGAAACATCAAGAGAGCTTTTAGATGAGCCGGGCACATGACCGTGTGTTTGGGTTGTGCCGAGTCAGACGGTCCGTCCTCTAGTCCGTCTGAAGCGTTCGTCTAGATTACAGCGAGTGTTTTTAGATCGCTTACTTCCAAGAACAACACCCGTGAACTGTCATTATAGACAGAGCAGGCACTAACCTGCACTAAACCTGCTTTCAGGGGACAAAAGATGCAAATTACACCTGGAATATTCCATGTAACATGATCAAGTTTCTATTTCACAAATATAGTGTGGCTGGATGTAGAATAGATAAATAGATGATGCTTGTGCATATGTGACAGATCATTGCCCCAAAAATCTAGATTTTCAGTGATTTTCTGACTTAATTTTCAGTCATACAAATTATTCCTTTTAATGTTTTTACCATGTCTACTAAAGGCATGTGATTTTAAGGAAATGTACAGATGATAAAGCCATCTATTAAACTGTGTTTTGTATTATTTTATCATTACTTTTGTCTTTATTTGATTATATTTGAAATAGCTTGGGTTTAAAATATTATTTACATATTTGTTTTTTAACATTTTTATGTTGCTGGCTTATTGTGAGTGACTACAAACATTTTATGCATCTTAAATTAACCGCTCTTTGTAAATTGTTATTTTATTTTATTATTTTATTTTATGGACAGTGTGTCTTCCATTTCTGGAAAAAGAATGGATATCTACGTAGTAAATGTATTGTTTAATTCTTTTCTTGAATTGGTCAAATAAAACACTGAATGATTTATTAGTGAATCATTCTAAATTACATTTTAAAAAACTCTTGAATAATAATCAAAAATGGCTGGAAAGAATAATTTAAAAAGTGAAATATCATGACTGATGGATATTATTTTATCCATCAGTCATCTTTAAGTCTAATTCTGATGTTTTTTATTTTTTTTCACTTAAATTTGTTTTGCATGTCAGGGGAGGTTTTTTTAGTTTTTTTTTGGTGTTATTAATTGGCCATAATATTATGAATCTATTTTAGATTGTCATTTTAAGGTAGTTTTATGTTTGCACGATGTTTTATCCAGCTATCACACTTGACATTCGTGCCAGGAAGAGAGATAGAAGAGAGTCATTGCGCTAAGGTGGTGTTTTATAAATGGAGGGTGCGTGTGGGTTGTGGGGCTGGGTCCTGTGAATTCCCATAAAACCTTCAGAAAGCAGCTGAAGATGATTAAAAAAAGATTTGGAATTATATAATAAAACTTTTTTTGTAATTATTTTTACTGTTAAAACATTTGGCTGTCAATGTCATGATTTCTCATAATGAAACATTGACATCCTTATTCAAAAACGTATTAATCTTTTTAACTGCAGGTCCGGTATTATCAATTATTGAATGGCTTTTATCAGTGCTCATTATCCTAAAGAAAATATGATCAAAAGCATAAATCATTTGTTTAGCATTTCAGTTTAAAAATGTCATCCAATAAAATCTCTATAAAGTGCATTACATTAAATGCAAATGCTGATCTGTTGTAAAATGTAAAAAAAATTTCAATGTTAAATAACCTTCAGAGATTTGAGTTGTGGTTTTTCTTTTTTCTTTTCCTCCCCACATGGTGTTTTCATAAGTATTTTCTTGAAACATCTGGCTAATGTGACCAATAATTTAATTATTGGTTTATTCAAGTAGACTCGGTAGTTAACAACCTCAATAAAAGTCAGCAATTTAGGCTGCATCGTTGGCCATTTCAGTTTAACCGCAGGCCACTTTACGCATCGCATCTTCTCCTACAGAAGATGCGTCACACACAGTCGACTGCAGAAGACCTACAGATGCACCTTACGAAGTTTCTCCACCTAAATCCCCCCAAATAATGCACATAAGAACATACATTTATAGCTCCTTGACCCTAAAACTGTCCTACTTCAAGGCTTGTAGCTTTTGCGAAGTAAGTCGCTTTTTTCAGTAGTTACAAAGAACAAAACGGTGTGGGTCATGTGTTTGTACTGTTCCTCAGTGCTCCCAGGCGATGCAAAGTCGAAACGCAGTCAGGCCTCAAACCAAAGCGGCCGACTCTGTTGCTAAGTTACAGTTTAGAGTTTTCCTATTTTTAGTTTCCTGAGACCAGGCTTCTCACCCAGAGATTATATTTTCATTTGGAATCGAAACAATAAAAGAATCCAAGTGAAATGCCTCCGTGCCATTTGTGTGGCTGTAATTAAGTGATCCCGTTAAAATGGGCTAATGCTGCATGAACCTCCTCATCACATTGTTAAATTATTTTTGTCATAGAACAAACTCTGGGGTTTGCTGTGTTCAACACACTCTATTGATTTCCCTGTCCATGTAGACTATGAAACACTGTAGTGTTTCGCTTAAAGTAAGTTTAACACCTAAAGGAATGAATAGATATTTTTTAAATGATGTGAACTCATAAGATGAAGACTCCTAGAAAATGCAGTATGGCTGGTCGCTCCCTCATAATGGCCACCATGTTAAGGTCAAACAATAAATTCAAGCATGCCTCATACAAACTACACGATTTTTTTATATATAGCAACCTGTTGTGAAAATTCAGTTGCTCCTCCAGAGCTGGTGGGGGCAGCAGAGAGGCAAGTGTTGTAGTTGTTGTTGTTCAGAAAAACTAAATTTGCATTTTTAAAACTGGTAAACTGAAATTAGTCATTGTAAGTCAATGAGCTACTTGGGGAAATTCCGCTAGAGGTTGACAGTCTTAAGCGGGGCACACACTACAAGGAAACCCGGCCGATTTTGAGCTGAATTCTCCCCTTCTGAATATCCTAGTTCCAATTATTTTGATGGTTCTACAGATTGTTTTATCAGATTTCCCTGTGATGTGAGATGTGTTAAAGGAATAGTTCACTCAAAAAAGAAAATTACCCCATGATTTACCCTCAAGCCAGATGTATATGACTTTCTTCTTTCAGACGAATGCAATCTGAGTTATATATATATAAAAAAATGCCCTGGCTCTTCCAAGCTTTTTAATGGCAGTGAATAGGGGTGGGCGACATAGCCTCAAAATTAGATCACGATATTTCAAGAATATTTGCGATAACGATATTTATGCCGATATAGAAAATAAAAACATGGAACAACGTTTTATTGGGGATTGCAACTGGCAGGCAGCAGCATTTATTAGTGCAAACAAAATTAAAGGCATTTTCCGTCCTTTTCCAATGAGCTACTGTCATCGATGACAGACTACCTAATTTGAAGTGTGAATCTGTTGTCATAAAGTGGCAGCAGCAGCTGTGTGTTCGACTTGAAGAAGACCGATCGGTGTATGACGTCAAAATACCGCGAGAGTGACTTACCCCTCTCTGTGCCGCTTCGCTAAAGATATGCATCTCACCTATTTTTGACTAAGAGTGTGCGCTCGAATATGCTCTAGAACCGCTCTCACTATACTTTGATGTCATACACCGATCAGTCTGCGCAGCGCTGTTTCAAGTCGAACACACCTATTGGGTTTGTGGTGGTGGTGTTGTGCGCGCTAGGGAACGTATATCCGCCATACGCATGATATCAATGATATAGCGATATGACACTTTTATTTATCATGTAAAAATTGAAACCAGTATTATGATATGGCACACCCCTAGCAGTGAATGGTCCATCATAAAAAGTGCTTCACACCGTTCCGGGTTTTAATAAAGGCCTTCTGAAGTGAAATGATGCCTTTGTATAAGAAAAATAACCATATTTAAAACTTTATAAACCGTAATCTCTAGCTTCCGCTAACTGTCGTGCACGCGTTCACGAGAGAGTGGCGTACCAGCGCAGGATATAGGCGTATTCTCCCCGGAATGCGTTAATGATGAAGCGGACACCCGAAAGAAGAGGAAAACCATGGAAAAAATGCGATTGGGCTAGTTTTGAATATCTGTTGGCCTGGTTTTGTTTCTCGGACCTGGCAACCCTGCCTCCAGCTCACGCTGTAACATTTTCACGCGTCTCTGTGACTTCATCTAAATATTTTTTTTCTTTTACTTCCACAAATTTTCTTGCCCGTCGTCCGCCATTTGTTTACTGTAAAGTCACGTTTGACTGCAAGATGTTTTCCCATGTTCACAGTCGGGACTCTGGTTTGGTGTTTGGTGTGCCATCTTGGTCACATTCGCAGCTCTCCACACACTATAGGAACACAACTTTTAAATCTATGAATTTTTTATCATTGTTTGTGGTCTCTCACATTTTGAAAATCTGAGAAAATTTTAATCTATTAGTGTGTGCCAGCCTTTAGCTGTTTTCGTTCATTTAAGCTGTGGTTATAATAGTTTCTCGTCATAGAAACAATCTTTCCTCATAACGCAAACATGGCAAATATCTTTGTAAATCTGACAGTTTACAAATGGTTTTATTAACAATTTATATTATTTTTTTTTCTACTTGTGACTTTGTTGACTTGTTATTTGTCTTTGTCTTATTAAAGGGATAGTTCATCCAAAACTAGAAAAAATCCTGTCATAATTTTCTCACCCTCAAGTTGTTCCAAACCTGTATGAGTTTCTTTCTTCTATGGATTGTAAAAGAAGATGTTTTGAAGAATGTGTGTAACCAAACACCTGTTGGTCCCCATTGACTTCCATAGTATGGAACAAAAAATACTATGGAAGTCAATGGGGAACATCAACTGTTTAGTAACACACATTCTTTAAAATATCTTCTTTAGTGTCCAGCTGATGAAAGAAACTCATACAGATTTGGAAAAACTTAAGGGTCAGAAGATGCCTTGTAATGTGTCTGTGTTATGTGCACATTGATAATTTTCTCTGTCTGTGCTGTATGTGCGCAGGTACAGCAGTGTGTTTCCCAGTCTGAACATGGCAGTAAAACGCAGGGAACAGGCTCTTCAAGATTATAAGAGACTCCAGTCTAAAGTGGAGAAATATGAAGAAAAAGAGAAGACGGGGCCCATCATGGTCAAACTCCATCAGGTACAACCAGTTCTTCCATTCAAGGCAGGACTTCCTTTCCGACAGCGTCGCAATGTTTCTCGTGAAGTCTGAAGACCTTGATTTCCTTTTGAAAAAGAGAAGTATGGCAGCTGGTTTGAGTTGACTGATCTCCTACTAATACCAGAAATCCTTTAATTCAAGTTAGTTCACTCAGCGGTCATGTTGGTAACGCCCCAGGGAGCTGTTTTCTGTGTAGATCAAGCATACAGCTCTTGTTCACTTGAATAGGGAAAGATGGACATCAAATCGGTAGCATTTTAATTTAATGCAACCTTGTTACGCATAAAATGTGTTTACTATAGTAAAAACAGTAAATTAAAAACCAAACCTTTTCAGCACAAATGTTCATTGGGGCAAGTTTTTTAAAATTAATCTCTGAGCTTCTGTCTTAAAATTCACCCTGTTTATGAGGAGCTATAGAATATAAGACCATATCCACAACAAACATGTATCAAAAAGGTCATATGGCATATAACTGCTGACAAAATACAGCTATTTTTAATACATATGCAAAAAAAACAAAATCCTTTTTCCTGAATGTTTGAGTTTCTAACATGATTACAAGCACAATGTGGCAGTCAAAGTGACCTTATTTCAGGCATTTATCCAAAAACCCATTCAAAAAACCCATTGACTTTGAGACTAAGGAGCCGGAAGTGGTAAAAAGCTCTTTTCTGGGTTTCGACCTCCAAAAATACCTCATCCTTGCAGCACAATTTTGACTTCATATTGACTTCAACTGGAGCTCAAAAAGACACAAAACCACCTGAACTATGAAACACTTCTCACACAACAGTTTTTCTCTAGTCTTTATACATCTTCCTGTAGTGGATGCTTGTACTCGAGTGTGCTGGACCTTAAGAGTCATCAGGTTTGTTATCATCCGTCCGCTCGCGTACAGTTCTGGCGGGATTTTTCTTTTAGCACGCAGCAACAAGTGAAGGAAGCTGCGCTGGATGGACGCAGAAGTATTCAGAGCACATGTATACATGCGAGCGAACTCACCCACGCAAGAGAAACAGCCTCTCAACTCAGCTGCACTTTTTCAAGAGGCTGCGCTCAACACACACTGCGGGATAATTGGTTTTCGCGCGCACACACACACGCTCACTCGCACACGGTAACACGATCCAGCGAACACGAGCAAACAATAATTGTTTGTTCTTATTGTTGCACACTTCTGGGTCATTATGCATGTGTATGTTGACACGTGATGGACCGTACGTGCGCAAACAGATAGAGACGGATGCTTGGAAAACTTCTACATACATGTACAGCCCATCGCCCACACACACACTGAAGGACTCAGCAGGGCCATGGAGGATAGGAGAACTGATAGTGTGTGTGCAATCACATTTACACATGGCCTGTGTCATATATAGAAAGCAGGTCATATCCTAGCAGAGGTCAGCACTTATAGATTGCTTTCCCCTCCCTTCCGCTGTGCTGATTGGTGATTGCATCATCAACATTGCTCTTCCCCACCTCCACACCCTTGAAAATATCCTGGCCTCTTACAATTTTTTTTGTTATTATTCTAATGACACACCATAACAGCATGCTTTAATAATTGGCAAGTCATTCTGGGGTAGGCAGTAGTCTTGGTTTTATTTTTTGCTGCATTACGTGTGTGTGTGTGTGTTTTGTTTTTAGGCTAGGGAAGAACTGAAGCCTGTCAGGGAAGACTTTGAAGCCAAGAACAAGCAGCTGTTGGACGAGATGCCCGAGTTCTACAACAGCCGCATTGACTACTTTCAGCCCAGCTTTGAGGCTCTGATACGAGCTCAGGTGAGCATCAAATGCAACCAGCTCAGATGCAAAATAACTCAAACTAAAATACAGCATGACGGTTACGTGGGCCATATGGATTTTGTGGGAACATACTTTTATATTTTGTTTAACACAACACAAAAAATTCCTTCCTCAGTCACACACACACACACACACACACACACATTGGATTTCCATTTTATATATATATATATATATATATATGTATAGTGCCTTGCGAAAGTATTCATACCCCTTAATTTTTTTCATGTTATGTTGCTGCCTTATGTTAAACCGCTTTAATTAACTTTTATTTCCCACATCAATCTGCACACCATGTTGACAAAGCAAAAACAGAATTGTCACAACTTCGTAAATTTATTAAAAATAAAAAAACAGAAATAAGTACATTGCATAAGTATTATCTATATTACATTATACATCTAGATTATCTATTATTACATACCCTTAACTAAATATTTTAGCTGAAGCACCTTTACAGTCTCAAGTCTTTTTCGTTTGATGCGACAAGCTTTGCACATCAGCATTTGGCAATTATCTGCCATTCTTCTCCTCCCCTCTTAACCTCTCAAGCTCTGTCAGGTTTGAGAGAAACAGAACAAACTGAGACAGACTCAATCCAGAAGAACTGTGGCAACGTCTCCAAGATGCTTCAAGAGACCTACCTGCAAAGCTTCCTGAAAAACTATGTACAAGTGCACCGAGGGCAAAAACTGCTTTAAACGCAAAGGATGGTCACACCAAATGTTGATTTTTAATTTAGTTAATTGAAGTGAATTGATAAAGAAAATCTATTTATGGCATTACTTTTGACAGCATTTTTACACAAGTGTCTACAACTTTTAACAGTACTGTAGCTTCGCAAGTAGGTTTCTTGAAGCATCGTGGAGACGTTGCCACAGTTCTTCTGGATTGAGTCTGTCTCAGTTTGTTCTGTTTCTTCATGTAATCTCAGACAGACTGATGATGATCAGATCAGATATCTGTGTGGCGCACTGGCTGCTGTCAGACAAAAATCTCACTGGATTATTACAATTAATGGCCAAATGAATGTTTGGAAATATAAACTGATATTTCCTACTGACACAGTACAGCAAAAGATAGAAATAACTGACTTAAAACCATTTTTAGCTGGTGAAAATACTAGTGTTTTAATACTTTTAGCCACCACTGTATATTATATTATATGTAAACAGTACACAGTAGAAAATCAGCCAGAAAAGTTGGAAGCTGATCATATAAATCTAAATCATTTCCCCAAATGTGTTTTCCCATTATAGGTGGACTTAAATTGAGGGGGAAAAATACAAAAGTAGAGGATAAAATTAATACGTGCAAACTTTCAAATGATGAGTAACTGGTGAGCTGGCTGGTAACCTTTTAAACATTTTTTTATATAATAAAAGTGGAAGATCAAGTATGACAACAGACGATTTAGAATGAAGTAAGAGAAATGCTATAACGTCTCACTGTACAATATATGATGCTGATGAAGTGTACTGTGCAAATTATGTATATTGGGACAATAAAATATATATAAAAAAAATAATATATATATATATAAAACAAATCCACAAAAATAGTAGTCACGTTACCTCTATAGGTCTGTTGATCATGTGACATATTGTGGATATTTGCACGAGTACTTTAATATTTTTTGTTTTGAGTGACATGACATGTGGCCAAGTATGGTGACCCACACTCGGAATTAGTGCTCTGCATTTACCCATCCAAAGTGCACACACACAGCAGTGAACACACACACACCGTGAACACACACCCGGAGCAGTGGGCAGCCGTTTATGCTGCGGCGCCTGGGGAGCAGTTGGGGTTCGGTGCCTTGCTCAAGGGCACCTCGGTCGTGGTATTGAAGGTGGGAGAGAGCGCTGTACATTCACTCCCCCCACCTACAATCCCTGCCGGTACGAGACTCGAACCCACAACCTTTGGATTACGAGTCCGACTCGCTAACCATTAGGCCACGACTTCCCCACGTTAATGTTTTTACTGATGAAGGCGTTTGGATAGACACCGAAACGTCTTGTTGATTATTTTATAGTCCAGTGATTTCAATAAAAATTTAATTTTTTGAACGTTTTAACACCTGGATGATGTAGTTATGAATCTACACAAACAAAAATATTTTACGTATTTTACATGAATATGTATAAAAATAAGGAAATAATACAAAATTCAGTGTTGTGGCTGTAATTAAATATCTATGGCTGGTTTGAGAAAAGTCTGAGACAAGGGATTAACAAAATATATGCATAAAAGACTGTTTTAAAGTTGTCATGGTAAAATGTTATATGATATTCCTTTAACAAAAGGTTGAATTTAAAAAATGTGTTGTTTTTAATAAAAAATAAAAGCCAAAAATCTAAATCAATAAAAATCAAGTTTGAAGAAACACCCTCACACACGCACAGTAGTCAAATTTAAAGCTTACGCTCCCTCCACCCAGATCTAATGTGATTAACCCGGAGTAACACACACACACACACACACACACACAAAATCACTCCTTTATGCTGCGCTCACACACTGTCTCACTCTACACACTTCCCCTCTCTCTAATGTGATTAACCCCCACAATCCTGCCTGCTTATGTCCACAGCTCAGACTGTGTGTTATTTTAAGGAGTGTGTGTGTGAGAGAGAGAGCTAAACATTAGAATCTAATGAATGTAGTAAAAGAGGAGAAGCCAAGTCAACACACACAATCTCATCTTCAGGACGTGTGCATTTACCCCCTCTCTGACATTTTCACAGTGTTAGGATGTTAATATTATTCCCATGTCATGATGTTATTTTGCATGTGTGTCTGTACAGACTTTTTGTTTTTTGTTTCTGGCTTGATGGATAATAATGAATTCATATTGTTACAGGTGTCCAAATGCTTTTTGGTGCACCTGTGTGTGTGTGTGTGTGTGTGTGTATAAGTGGAGATAATGCAGTCTAGTCAGACATCACATATGATATCAGTACACATGGACTTAAACGTTAATATAGTTGCATTAAGAAGCATAAACAATAGTAAGTTTTAAACTAATGGATCACCTCTGCTGACATCTGCCTCTTGAGTCAAACGTATCCTGTAAGTAAGGTGGATATAACCTATTTTACACAGTGTTTTACAACACCGACTTAACTGTGAGCTGGTGTTAAAGCTGAATAGTCCAAGCAGGCCTTTTCTTGGTGGGTTAATCACATATTTAAAAGCCATAATCTTCACGGCTCAGGGCAGAGCGGGCAGTCGAGATCTGTCAGGTCTGAGTCTGTCAGGACCTGATCCAGTGCCCTATGATCCCAAAAAATGCCATCTTGAGAGAAAGCCTCTCCTAACTGTCTACTTGAAAATGCACTGTTGTTATAGATCTGGTATAACAGATGAATTACATAGTAAATTGTATGAAAATTATTATTTAAAATTTTATTAGAATGAAGAATAATAACTACATTTATACACTTTAAAAAAATGCTGAGTTAAATATAACCCAGCACTGGGTTAAAAAGGGACAAACCCAGCTATTGGGTTGTTTTGACTCAAAACAACCCAACCGCTGGGTCAAAACAACCCAATAGCTGGGTCAAAACAACCTAATAGCTGGGTCAAAACAACCCAATAGCTGGGTCAAAACAACCTAATAGCTGGGTCAAAACAACCCAATAGCTGGGTCAAAACAACCCAATAGCTGGGTTTGTCCCTTTTTAACCCAGCGCTGGGTTATATTTAACCCAGCATTTTTTAGAGTGTACAAACTTTTAAAAATGTTGCTATATTACAATAATCAAAATGAGAATATTTTACATCTGAAATGTTTTTGAGATTTACCCACGTAGTATTCATTACTTTCTAGAAAGTTTAAATAAAGTGTTAAGATTTTTCTTTGCTCATTTTATGCGTTTACCTAATTTAGGAGATGATTCTTAATGTGAATGCGTCAAGTGTTAATAGGTTTGATTTTATGTTATCTGATTAGCCTGAGAAGGATTAACCAAACGGGAAACAGCCTTCATGATGACAAACAATGCCGTCATACACACAGTGAGCCTACAAGTCGCTTGGTAGCTTGTACTGCTCGTGTAGGGCATGCATGTTTGAATCTGGCCTGCATCGCATCTCAATTCCATCCCGACAATCTTAAAAATAAAGGTTCTTTATTGTCATGGTTCCATCAAGAACCTTTAACATTAATGGAACCCTTCAATCACACATGTTCTTTATAGTGGAAAAAGTTTCTTTAGATTATGAAGTGTTGTTCACACTAAGAAAAATAGTTATTTTAAGAACTGTTCACTGAAAGGAACCAAAAATATTTATTTAATGGCATCACTGCGAGGGGGAAAAAAATTATGATAATATTTTCACCTTTCGGTAATGCTAAAAACGTGGTTGATGAACTAGTCGGTTATTTTTACAAAGATTACCGTCTGACTGTACATCACTTATATGTATTTTAGAAAGAATAGAGCACTGTATTGACCAATCAGCATCCAGAACTGGAACTATCTATTTGATAACAGGATGTACATTTGTATAACTGGAGTCATCTAGTAGCTAATTTTGTCTTCTGGTTGACTAGTAAACAGCAGTTGAATTCAGCTTGTAAATGTCATGGATGGAACAACATCAAACTTCCTTTAGCTAAAACCATTGCAAACTTTATGGAGACAACAGTCTTTTGTGATTGTTTTTGTGTAGCAACACTTTGTGATGCTACGCTTTTGTCATTTGCTCTATTGAAAACCAGATGTGGGTGCTCTGTGGAAAAAAATAAAGGTTATAAATAAATGAACACATGAATGTATTAAGCTGATCATAGATCAGGCCTGAAATGCAGTCTTTCCTCGAGCTCTCAGCTAACAGATGGGCAGCAGAGAGATAGAGCGAGAGAGAGGCCTAGCAGATGACCGAGTCTCATTCATCAAGAGCTTTCAGTAACCCGGAGTGCCATACCTCCAACACCCACATACTCCAAGACACAGTCAACCAACATCAGCTGTCTGTGATGAGGTAGAGCAGGGTGTCTCTCTGTCAGATAGAAGGCGTAGGTGGACTCCCCAGACTGCTTACTATAGGTGCGGTGTGGAGACGCTGCCTCCCTCTGTATCTGATGGACGTCACATTGGACAGTGTGTGTTTGTGTTTCCAGTAGTCCTGGAGTGGACACAGTTTGACTCACCGAATATTCAGTCATGCTGAGAGTCCCTCATCCTGCTGAGTCATTCGCACACATACACACAGCCTTATATCAGGGGATGAGGACAAATAGAAATTTGGCCTAAAGAAAGATGCATGCACAAACATCCTGGATGGCCTCGGAATGAGCCAAATTTACACGTGTAGACTTGTTTCCTAGAAGCCACTGCTTTGAGTCTTGACTTCTCATATGAGTGGGAAATCTTTGGACGCATACAAAATATATTCACAAACCTCATCTTCAGTACAGGGTGAAAACCAATGGCGGTCCTAGTACTTAGCTTTGCGGTACTACATACTGAATTGATTGATATGATACCTCTTAATTTACTGCTACAAATTGATAATGGTCAGATAAGTACAAATTGAACCATGCCAATGCAATCACAGTAATTCCAACAACGTTTTTGAGCCTGTCCAAGAGAATGATGTGGTCGATAGTATCAAAGGCAGCACTAAGGTCCATTAACACTAATAGGAGAGTTGCAACCACAATCGCGTAAGAGCGATTTGTTACTATAATAAGCGTAGTTTCAGTGCCGTGAAATGGTCTAAATCTGTTCAAAAATACATGCATTGTCTACACTGGGTGCATTGAGCAAAAGCTGGCTCCCCTCAGAGATGTACAAAGTGAATGACACAGATCATTACATTGTCACCCTGCTAGACATTTACATAGGACACTTTCTGGCATTCAGGAACTGCTGGACCAGGAGTAGCCATCCCTGTTCCTGGATGGATAGCTTCCTGGAGAGTTTACTTCCAACTCTAATCAAACACTCTTTAACCAGCTAATCAAGGTGTTCAAGATTAATTGAAAATTAGAGGCAAGTGTGATGAAGCAGGGTTGGAACTGAAGCCTACAAGAAGGAAGTTCAGTTCTCCAGGAGCAGGGTTGTAAACGCCTGAGCTAGACAGAGTGCTGGAATGAAGAGAATTATGAGAAATACTTTGTGCTCTAAAGATGGTGCATCAAATTCAACAATGCTAAAGAACAGCTTGAGATCTAATCCAGCAGTTCCATTGATTGTTGGGATTCTAAGTAATTTTACAATATCAACAACTTTACAAGGGGTGCAGTGCCTCAGTGGGTAGCACTGCCACCTCACAGCAAGAATGTGCCAGGTTCAAGTCCCAGCTTCCTTCAGTTTCCCACATAATCCAAAGACATGCAAGTCAGCTGAATTGGAACCACTAAATTGTCAGTAGGTGTGAATATGAATGCGTGTAAGTCTGTGTTTGTTAAGGCCTGGCAATACTTCATTTTCCGTGTTCTGCTACATCTCCAACAGAGTATTCTCTATTGACCATGAGCACTGATGGACTCGTTCTGTGTATTCACACTACCTATTGGACCTTTTGTTTTCGAGCACCCAAATTACTCACACATGTGCTGTTGTCCTAGACTTTAGCTGTACTTTAGCTTTAACCATGCAATGGACTGGCCATCCATCCAGGGAGTATTTTGCGGCCTCGGCCTATAGAGGACAAGTGGTGTGGAGAATGGATGAATGGACAGTTTTACAGACACATTTTTACCAAATTTTGTTTTCACTTTATTGTCGCTTAACAGGTAGCCTTTTGTTTACAGCTTATTGGTCCGTGGTTGTTGAGTATTCTGAGGTGACGTGATGCTAAATGTGTAGACTGACTCAGTTTTGGACATCTGTGGCTTACAGTGTAGACTCTGTGTTACAATTTGTGTGCGTATATGTTTAATGAGTTAATTAGCCGTGAGTTTAGAATATATTCATGTGTGTGTGACAGAAGCATAAATACTAATTCTCTTTGAAGCTTTTTCTGGTCAAGAATCACCCGCTTAAACAGGAAGGGTCTGTCTGGATGATGTGTTCAACTATGACCACAATTGATTTTGTTTTTTTCTGTGTGTGATTTTTAAAGAGCAATAAATCTAAAATCGGTGAAACCACAATAATAGATTGGTGTGGTATCTCGTTCGAATCATGGTGCAGCTGTCTCCGCAAATAGTTAAACAGACAGCAGCAAAGGAATTATTGGAAATGTGTGTTGACTTTGCGGTCAGAATATCCTTCCATCTGAAAATAATAAGTACAGATTGTTTAATGGACTTAACTGAATGAAAGCAGGATTGGGCAGTTTATTGAGGATGCCACGTTTTCTTGCTGCTAACTGCCTTAAGCTGCTGAAACCTGTGATGTCATGAACTACGCCAACCTGAATCTTTTGAAAGTAATTTCTACAGACCGTGTGCCTTGACTACCAAAAGCTGCGTCATAACCAACCAATCAAATTGGAACTTTCTGTTTCGAGAAAGCTCCTGTCTGTGCAACATGTATCATACAGCTCATGAACGGTCTGTGGGCGTGCCGCCTGAAGCGGAGACATAAATACGGTGCCGTACCTGCATTTTAGCTTGTGTGTGGCGGCATCATTCATTGGTTGTTTTGATTGATCCCTGACAGGTCCAAGGCGGATTTTCCTCTGAACTAGTTTTCCTTCCAGCCCCACGTGCTGCACGGCAAACAGATCCCCTCTCCGCTCTTCATGTGGTGAGACCACCATAAACAGGACAGACCAGTATCCGCTTCCATTCAGCACTGGGCAGGAACTGGCCTCTCATAGATCACAGAGTGCCACTGACGGCCAGCGTGGAGTCTTTGATTAGAGTCTGAAGTCATTTCGAGCAATCCCAGAGGCAGTTTACACAATCTATTCAAAAGAGATGTGCTTCATCACAGTGTTTGGTGCCGCATTTATACATCTGCCCTACAAAAACCTTAAAAAGTGTCTTTGCAATCCGTGGGTGTCTGAACCCGATGGCTCCTGTGTGAACAATGGAGTCGAGTTGCGTTCATCAATCGAAACTCTGCTGCGTATCTCTAGCTAACAAGACCAAAGAGGAAATGGCTTTTCAGTTTGATCGCCCCATGTAAAAGACGAACCTTTTCCCACTCAGATTTTGCTTTTACGGGTTCTGCTTTTCAGAAACATTCATACTGGTATTGCTAAATTATGTATTGCTATTATTATTGCTCATATTTAGGGTCAGTGATTTGAACAAACCTCTATTTTGTAGTTTTTGTTTAGTTTTTTTATTTTGTCTGTTTAAGGAAAGTCATTAGGGTTCGAAACCACTTAGCAACCATTCAGAACACCCTAGCAACCACAAGCTAAAAACCGCTTTGAAAACCTTAGCAGCCACATACTGTAGCATGAGTTTTGCACCACTCGTATTGTCCTGAGAATGTTTAGTTTTTTTTCCTCACTGGATTTTAAGGCCATAGTAGATGTGGATTTGTTTGCCAGCGCACATACAGTAAGCAGCTTGAATAAATGTGCTGTGTGTAGGTTTGAGAGCCGAGCAGCTGTATTTCCCAGCGCTTTCAATGGCGGCCCACTCCTCCTGGAGTCTTGTAATGTGATTAAAGGCTATTAATCATCAAAGCGTCTCTCGCGGGACCCCTGACTCACGGGCCGGGGGAAGAGCAGGGGCGGGACGTGTCAAGAAAGCTTTCAGCCGACACTCGCTCGCTCACACAGCGATCACTGAAGATCGGGGTCACCTGCTACTCACAGACCCACGAGCGTTATCTCTGTGCCGTAGCATTTTCCTGTATGAGCGGGAGTGAAGAATATCCCTTCTTTGGAAAAAGTCAAGTTCTTTATTTAGCATAAAGTGATTTCAAGTACAAATTAAGGCCTCAGATATGCAGTCATTTTCTATTTTAGTTTAGACTGGGCTGTGTCCTGTCAGAATGAGCATATTTACATGATGAAGACCATCACAGTAGGGAATCTCAGGGGTTTTATTGAGTCTGACTTTTCAGCTCAACGGGTGTGTCATTATGAAGGGGAGTGGCTTTGTCTTTTAGGGGCGTGTCCATTATAATCATGTCAGATTTTAGGTGGCATTGATCATATGCAGCTGGATTTGTGAATGTTATCGGTTTGTACACATTGTATGTGACCGTGATTAAGATGTCCAGAAAATGCTATCACATTAGCCAGAGATTAGACAAAAGGTCCTTGCACACCGAGTCTGAAGATTTCATATGCATTTTTTTGTTTTTGTTTTTTGTATTCGTCATAGTTTCCTATCAAAATGCTTTCAACGGATGCGAAAACGCAGAAAATCAAACCTGTTCCTATTTTTAAAAAAAAATTTTATGACAGACTGAAGTTTCAGAGTCAAGTGTGTAAGGTCATATTTATTTTTTAATGTGCGAAAATTTCGGACGAGAATTTCGGACTCCGTGTGCGAAGACCTTAAGACTGTATTGAACTGCAAAACTACTTTTCCCATCATTCCCTGTGACTATATGAAGATAAAGTACTTAAAAATGACCAATTACACCACTAATGCACAATAATTCACTATGTAGCTTTGTGTTGTGGCGTAAAGTGACAAAGAAACAGGAAGTTGTTCAGAGGCATACTGGATCGCATTTTAACGTTCTGAAAACTCAAATTGGAAAGGTGAAAAACTCCTGTTGTCATTCTCATGGTAAAAAGAAAAAGTGTGTGTACTTGACCTTAATTTCTCTGTTTTCTGTCAGGTGGCCTATTTTACAGAGATGCACAAGATCTTCACTTGTGAATGTTATCGGTTTGTACACATTGTATGTGACCGTGATTAAGATGTCCAGAAAATGCTATCACATTAGCCAGAGATTAGACAAAAGGTCCTTGCACACCGAGTTTGAAGATTTCATATGCATTTTTTTGTTTTTGTTTTTTGTATTCGTCATAGTTTCCTATCAAAATGCTTTCAACGGATGCGAAAACGCAGAAAATCAAACCTGTTCCTATTTTTTTTTTTTTTTTTTATGACAGACTGAAGTTTCAGAGTCAAGTGTGTAAGGTCATATTTATTTTTTAATGTGCGAAAATTTCGGACGAGAATTTCGGACTCCGTGTGCGAAGACCTTAAGACTGTATTGAACTGCAAAACTACTTTTCCCATCATTCCCTGTGACTATATGAAGATAAAGTACTTAAAAATGACCAATTACACCACTAATGCACAATAATTCACTATGTAGCTTTGTGTTGTGGCGTAAAGTGACAAAGAAACAGGAAGTTGTTCAGAGGCATACTGGATCGCATTTTAACGTTCTGAAAACTCAAATTGGAAAGGTGAAAAACTCCTGTTGTCATTCTCATGGTAAAAAGAAAAAGTGTGTGTACTTGACCTTAATTTCTCTGTTTTCTGTCAGGTGGCCTATTTTACAGAGATGCACAAGATCTTCACTGAACTGACGGATCAGATTGATCAGGGCAGTTTGACAGATGAACAGAGAAAGCAAGAGAACGAGGCCAAACTGAACGAGTTGCGCGCGCTGTCCATCGTGGCCAACGACTGAGACAGAAAACATCCTGGTACCCACGTCTTACTCTGACGTTCTAATGAAGTCACGTCAACATTTAATTTATTTCTCCTTTTTTTGTTAGTTATTTTTTGTTGATGTGTCATTTTGACAGATGAAGCCATCAGAAAACACCGATGATACTGTAAAACCTTTGAGCAGGAATTAGCATGAAGTTTAGAATCTCAGCTGGAATTAATTACCTTTTCTTGATTCCAGTCACTTTTTGTTGATCAAACTTCCTGTGTTTAGTTTTTCTAGTCTCGTCTTGTCTTTTTGTTATTACAGTCACTATAACTGACCAACAATTGAATTTTTAACAGATCATTTACATGTGTATCTTAAAGCTTTCCCATTGACCACAGGCCAAATTAATGTTCAAACCATAAAATGCTAAAGCTTCGTTTTTTTATACATGATGAACATTTTGTTTTCCGTAGTGTTCAAACACTACAATAGTATGTTCTTCAGCTTTTTTTGTTAGTTCATGTTAGTCTTTTGTGGATTCTGTGATGAACTACATGTATTTCAATGATACTCTGCCTCCCTCTACTGACACACGTGAAGCATTTTTCATCTTTTGTTTTGTTTTTGTATCTGACCTGTTTGTGCTCATCGTGTTTGTAATGAAGGAAAGACCGGTTTATATATATATATATATATATATTTACCAGTAGTCTTACAGCCATAATACACAAGGGCCAATTATTTAAGCCACACATTTTCATCTCATTTGTGTTGTTGTGAATGGCATCAGTTACTGACAATCACTATATAGTGAAGTTTTGAAACTGGAAGAGCCTTGATTGTATAAACAAAAGATTATTGTTTCGGTTTGACATTATTTCCAATGTGCCTTCACAGTAGGTGAGTATGTTGCTCACTATAGTCCAGTGTAAACGAATTCAGTGCCTTTGTCCCTTTGGATATAGCATCTACCAAGCAACTTATACACTGCTTTGCTTTTAAAAGAAATGAATGTTTGACTTCTGAAATCTAAAACATTTTCTCTGGACCACAGCCTTACGCTTCCCAAAAATGTGTGCATTTTTCGTCTGTAAAATTGTTTTCCTTTAAACAAATTGTTTGCTGTTGTGTTTACCTGTCAAACATTCTTACAGTAAATTGGTTGTGGATATTCAATGTCTGAAAATTCCTGATTTTATTTGAAATTAACAGCATTTTTCTCGCCGCCTTCATCCAAAATGACATCTAGTACACGTATTGCAGTCTGGGCAGGACTGTGATTTACTTGGGAAGGAACCCAAGTAAGTATTCTTGTAAGCAACAGATCGACATGCCTTTTCCCCAAAGTGACATCTACGTGAACCAATCAGATCTGCGCTTCAACAACAGCTGATTTTGTCAGTTAGAGCTGTGGTTGGTGTGAAAATGAAAAACCGTAATAAGGTATGTCAGTAAAATACAGTACATCTCTATCAGCTGGAATTAGTCAAACATTTACAGTTGAAAACACTAATTTACAGACTGTTGAACAGCCATTTCATGGCAACACAACAACTGAAACGAAGCATTACAATTCATACAGATTGTGCTTTAGAGGTGCAACTTACAAAACTGTAAAATGTCGACGACACTGATCGAAAGACTATTCATTAAAATAAGTTCATCAGTTCCCAAATCTTGGAAAATGCTACTAAATGCTCCTGAACTATGTATTAGGATGGAGTGTCTGCGTCAGGCCTATATGACCTCAGTTCAAACCATCAAAGCTGTCTATAATGACCTAAAACACAATCTAGATCACTACATGAGAAGCAAAGATGTGAAGACGATTTATCATAATTTATGGAGAACAGTTTCCTGTCAGTAGCATCTGGCTTGTTTAGCAAGTCTTAAGTTAGTTCAAATGTTTTCGAGAAAGTGGCTTTGTAAATGTGTTGTGGAGAGCGTGTGAGGTCTATACGGGTGATTTACTGTACATCTGTGCGATCTGCTCGCTGAAGACTCGCCGGAGATCCACACGCTTGCTCTTCAGGGTCGGCGTGAGGAGGCCGTTTGACACGCTAAACATTTCAGGGTGCAAATAGAAGTCCTTCACCTGAGAAAGAGAGAGAAAACGGCTGAAACGGAAGCTTTTGAAACATTTGACTCCCAAGGCCTTCAAGTGTCCACAACAAGGCTCCATGACTTTTCCGTAATAGTCGTTTAATCGTTCATTCATTCATATCCAGGATCTATTATTTATTGGATAAGTATTAAGCGATAGTTCACTCAAAAATAAGCATTCTGCTTAAAAATACTTGTTTAATGTATGAAGAACAACTGAGGTTCAAACCTAATTTGTCCTTGTGTAGGACAAGCAAGTAGGGTTGAGCCTCCTTTTAACACAATTGATGTCCTCATATATCCTCAAAAATCATAAATATATGTGATGCAGGTTTAATATATGTGCTGTAATTGTTTACATGTGTGCAGGTTACATGCGTGTGCGTCAAAGCGGCTCCGTTCACAGTAAAAAAAATGCTGCTCCACGCGAACTGTTATCATTTACATGTGTGGAGCATTTATTTTAATAGTTTTGTTCAATAAAATCAAATGATTACTTGCTTGTGATACTTTATTTGAACTAATTATCATTGCCACATTGCTATTATATATGTATTTAAGTCATTTTAAAAGGTTTATTTTTATTACCACAAAAACATTCATTATCCGATTACTCGATTAATCGTCAGAATAATCGACAGATTACTCGATTACCAAAACAATCATTAGTGGCAGCCCTACTTGCGGGTTTGGAATGACATGCGGGTGAGTAAATTATGAAAATTAGCATTTTTTTGGGTGAACTAACCTTTCAAAGGTAAGGATTTTTTAAATATTTTTATTCCATTTCTACTCAAGATATTTTAGAGCTTGGCATTGCTAGAAAAAAATATTAAAATTTTTAACATTTATATGTCTTTTCAAGGTCTACAAACAACATTTTCAAAATGAGGCTACTTCATATACTCATGTTGGGACTGGGAGACCCCCTGCTGAAGACCCCTGGTTAACATGGAACCAGCTCCACCCACAGGAGTTACACTGGCAATGCATAACAAAAAAACCCCAACCTGGACTTCACAACAGCAGTAATGCATATTTTAATATTTTATGCAAGTGCTTTAACAACAACACAGCCTGCCCAATCCTGATGAACACTGGCCTGCTAGACTTCATTTGTAAATGTATTTCCATACTGTACATCTTTAAAAACAATGAATGATGAATCATTTATCATACTGTATGTGATAATTGACACATGCTATCAATTAAGCTGTAAATGACCCAGAATGCTCCTCTACCTGCTCAAATGACTTCAGTCCTGCCTCCTTCCCCACTGCCGTCATGTCCTCCAGCACGGCTTTCTTCACATCCTGCCGGTCAAACGGGACGGAAAGAAATGTCATTCAGTTTGAAGGAACAGTTCACCCAAGAATGAAAATCTGCTGAGAATTTACTCAACCTCATCAGGAAAGATTGAGTGAAATGTAGCATTCCATCACTTGCTTACCAATGGATGCTCTGCAGTGAATGGGTGCCGTCAGAATGAGTGTCCAAACAGCTGATAAAAACATCTCAATAATACACTAGTAATCCACACCACTCCAGACTGAAGAAGTGAAAAGCTGGGCGTTTGTAAGAAACAAATCCATCAGGGTGTTTTAACTTTAAACAGTCGCTTCTGGCCAAAATATGAGTCCATAATAACGCTTCCTCTAGTAAAAAAAAATCAAAATCCACCAACATATTTGGTTAGAACTGTTTTGGATTGTTTTCACTTAAAATCGGTGCTTGATCTGTGCATATTTCTCTCCTGATTCGTACAAGATGACTTTTTCCACTAAAGAAAGCAATATTATGTATTATGAACTTGTATTTTAGCCGGAAGCAACGTTTTGAAGTTAAAAACATCTTTACTGATGGATTTTTTTTTTCTAATAAACATGCAGTTTTTCCCTTCACTCGACATTATTTGATGGACTGGAGTGGTGTGGGTTATTGTGATGTTTTTATCAGCTGTTTGGACTCTCATTCTGACGGCACCCATTCACTTCAGAGCATCAACTGGTGAGCAAGTGATGAAATCCTACATTTCTCCAAATCTGTTCTGATGAAGAAAAACTTTTTGACATCTTGGATTGCTTTAGTACATTTTCAGCAAATTTTTAATTTTCAGGTGAACTATTCCTTTAAAACTATTGATATCTTGAGAAATTACCACGTGTGCACAAGTGCTTTAAGCATGTTTCATGTAGTTTGGTCACCAGAAGGGAGATACATTTGTGTGTATTGTGTATGGCATTAAAGCTCACAGGATTTTGACAAAGCTCTTCATATGATCCAACGACCCCTCTTTCTTTGGCCCAGTCGACAAACACCTCCGGGTCTGGAACTACAACTCCTATCAGATAAGACTAAACACACAGAGAAACACAAGACTGCTGTGAGTGTCACTGCACTGAAAACAGAAGCTTGATGCCCAAAACTGCTGTACTAAAGTGTCTACACTTACTTGTAGACTATCTCCATGCACAAAGACCTGGAGAACAGGAACACAGCGAGTGTAGACGTTCTCGATCTTCTCAGGAGCGATGTACTCGCCCTGGGACAGCTTAAAGATGTGCTTCTTCCTGTCCACAATGCGCAAAGTCCCGTTCTGAAAGACCAGAGAGACAGCAAACGTTCACACGAGGTCTCATTCAGAAAGTCTTAAAGGGATATATCACCCAAAAAATGTTCAAATCTGTCATCATTTACTCACCCTCAATTAGTTCCAAACCTGTATGAGTTTCTTTCTTCCGCTGAACACAAAAGATGATATTTTGAAAAATGTGTGTAACCAAACAGTTACTCATTGACTTCCATAAGATTTGTTTTCCCCCCATACTATGGAAGTCTATGACTACCAGCAACATGTTCTTATATAAAATATCTTCTTTTGTGCTCAACAGAAGAAAGAATCTCATAGATTGGAACAACTTGAGGGAACAGGTGAATTAACCCTTTAAAGGAGAAATATATGGTGCATTCAAACAGCCCATAATGACTTAAAGTGATGTGAAGCAGCTGTAGAGTCTCACCGGCAGCCACTGTCCCACGTCTCCAGTGTGAAGCCAGCCATCAGCGTCCAGCGCCTCTCCCGTCCTCTCCTCATCCTTCAGATACCCTCGGAAGACGCTGTGACCCCGGATACAGATCTGGCACGTATAACACAATCAAAGTGTTAAATGACATAGGGAAGTCCATTCATTTCAGCTCATCGATCTGACAAAAGCGTTCCTCACGTAGCGTGTAAGGCCCATGTTACGGGTCACTTTCCACAATTGCTGGTAGATAAGGCCCAAAATCCCCCCTAATTGCAGAAAGTGTACCCATGTTTGGTTGGTGGGTTAATTTTCCACAGTGATCTGGATACTGACCTCTCCTTCTCCATTCTTGGCGCAGTAGTTCATGTCAGGGATGTCAGTTAACTTCACCATAGCACAGGGCAAAGGAGCTCCGACATGACCTGAAAAACATCAGACACACCGCTAACATGACTCCTCAGAACAACTGCTGAATCGCAGGTGAACATTAATATTATTTGGCTTATTACACTGTTACACTGGAAACAAGCAAGTCAAACACTGCACATTTTGGATAATGTAGCAAGTCATATGGGTATCCTTATGTACTACTTTTTTCAAAACTAGTAAATAGTACGCCATTTATGACTAAAGCAGGCTTATAAAGATACATGAACACAAACCTGCACTCCAGTCACCAGGCATAGAAAAGGTACATCCAGCAGTGCACTCCGTCTGTCCATAACCCTCGAAAATCTGAAACCATATTAAACACAATCAGTGTAAATATCGCAATCAATACTGGTGAATATCACTGGTGATGCACACATCACCCAAGCAGTGCTGTTTTAGTGTAATTTGCATAATATTACATTATTTACTAATATTTGGAGTTTTATTTTTATTTCAAATTTAGTTTTGTTTTGTGCTTTTCTTATTTTTATTAGTTTTTTTTTTTGGTTACACTTTATTTTAAGGTGTCCTTGTCCAGTGTAATTATATATTTAAGTACTGAATAATAGTAATTAACTACATGTACTTACTATATGGTTAGGGTTAGGATTCGGGTTTGGCTTAGGGTTACTTGCATGTAATTTTGCATAATTTATTGTTATTATAATGATAAGTACATGTAACAAGGACACCTTAAAATAGTGTTACCGGTTTTTTTGTGTGTCAGTAACACTACAATACGTTTACATTTGTTAACATTCGTTTCATTTGTTAACATTCGTTAACTACTTAAGCTAACATGAACTAATAATGAAAAAATAATTCTAAACCATCTTAATGTAAATTTCAACATTTACTTGTACATTATTAAAATCAAAAGTTGTATCTGTTAACATTATTGAGTTGATATGGAACTAATTTAATGCATGTTAGCTCATTTTAATGCATTAATTAACGCTAACTAATGGGACCTTATTGTAAAGTGCTACCCATGTGTTTCTGTTTAGCTTTATTTTATTTCATGTTTTTAAATACTTCATCTTAGACTTATTTCATTTCAGTTAGTTGCCAAAGCAACATTTCTAATTTTTAAGTTTCAGATTTTCATTTAACATTCGCACTATTTCATTTGAGCTTTTCTTCAATGACAAAACTGATTCTTAATAGAGTTTTAGTTTTAGTTAACAGTAACAAGACTGCCTCCAAATCAATGTGATGTCAGAGATGATGGAAAGCCTTGCTTAACCTACACGAAAACACATTTGTGTATGTATTAACGCGCTTTATAGTATTTTAATATGACACGGAATAGTTATTAGGAGAGGACTCACCAGACAGCCGAGGGTGGCTCTGAGGAAGGACAGGACAGTTGGAGAGATCGGGGCGGATGCAGTGAGGATGAATCGCAGGTTTCCACCCAGACTGGCCTACAGGAAGAAAGAGAGAGAGATGAATGAATGAATTTATTTTGCTCCGCTCACAGTTCATGTCACATATTATATATCCACAACACAAGGGGGCAGTTCAACGGCTTTCCATCAGATCTTTCAATAACTGCAGCTTGGTGTTAATGTGAAAGAGACGTGCCTGTATCTTATTGAAGATCAGTCGGTCCCACATGCTGTTGTTCCTCACGACTCCACTGCTCAGCTCGGCCTGTTTCCTCCTCACGGCGTAATGAAGAAAGGCTCTCTTCAGCGGAGACGTAACCGAGCCCAGAATCTACACACACATAGAACAGAGTGATTTAACAGTCATTATTCTCCATTTGTGTCCAACAGTGATGTGTAGCACTCACTTTATCATAGATGCGGTTGAGTAATCGAGGGACCACAGGGAAGAAGGTGGGCTTCAGGGTCTTTATGTCATCCATCAGCAGAGAAATGTCACCCTGGTAAAAACCAACCCTTGCTCCATGACAAAACATCGACACCTGAAGAAGAGAGAGAGAGTGCACAATACAATAGAGAACAAGGATTCAAATGAGCTACATAAAAGGACAAGAATCTAAACAGAGTATGATGGTTACGGTGTGTTTTTGTATTCAGTCAATATGCAATGGTAACACTTTGTTGCTAATTTAATTTATGCATTAGGAATCATGATATAACATCTAATAATCTGGGTTAATGTTAATTTAAATTGCTCAAAAGTGATAGTAAAGACATGCTACAAAAGATTTCAACAAATGCTGTTCTTTTGAACTTTCTATTCATCAAATAATGCTGAAAAAATAATGCATCAGTTTCCACACACACACACACACACACAATCAAATAGAGAGCGCCTCCTTTAAATTGTAATCATATTTTACAATATTAGTGTTTTAATGCATTTTGCATCAAATAAATGTAGCCTTAGGAAGCATAAGAGACTTCTTTCAACAAAATATTAATAAAATCTTAATTATTCCAAACCTTTGACAACAATGTAAATATACTATTATTCAAGTTCATTCATGTTAAATTAATGTAGTTTTATACATTTTAAAATGTTAAAAATGTTTATGTAGACATTTACATTAATAATGAATAATATATACAGTAAAACCTACTTGATTTTATTTACACATAACTTTTTAACAAATGTCATTAACTTTACTGTACACCATCAGAACATTGAAAAAATTCATAATGTTTCATCAAAACCTACTTCCATCATGACTTTTCAGATGAAACCAAGGGAAATCTTTTCAAATGAAATAATAATAATATTATGTTAATAATAGTGCTGTCAACCGATTAATCGCGATTAATCACATCCAAAATAAACGTTTTTGTTTACAGAATATATGTGTGTGTACTGAGTATATTTATTATGTATGTATATATATATATATATATATATATATATATTTTCACAGTATATACTGTATGTGTGTGTCTATATATACATAATAAATATACACAATATACACATATATTCTGTAAACAAAAACGTTTATTTTGGATGCGATTAATCGTTTGACAGCGCAAAATAGTGCACAGTATCAAAATAGGTGGGGTTACCTGGATCATACGCTCAAACATGTGAGCGAGTGGCAGATAGGAGATGGACACATCCTCCTGACGAATCACAAAGTAGCCCTGGCATGTGTGAATATAGAATATGACATAAATAGTTTAAAATATAACATTAATATATTATTAAGTCGAATTTCACTCCCGTGCAAAATATCAGTAGCAGTTGCATTAAGAGAGAACAGCATGAAGCCATTTTAACACACAACCTGCAGATAAAAGGAACAAAGAGCCTCATAAACAGAACTTGAAAGAGAAAGAGGTCTCATGGGAAACACAAGGCCTTTAGTAAAGAAGAAACAGAAGGAAGAGGAACAGGATAGAAGATAAGATGAAAGCTATGGAGAGATGAAGTTTAGGAAGGGAAATGTCACAAGCTGAAGGAGGATAAGTAAGAAAAGAAAGCAGAGATACAGGAAGTTAAAAGCTCTCTGAACTGACCTCAAGGATCTTGATGACAGAGGAGGTGTTGGAGGCGATGTTGCCGTGAGTGATCATGGCTCCTTTAGGCTTTCCTACATGAAACAAAGAATCACATCTAAACCCTAATTTCACAGGTCACTGTAACACAATAAACTAAATACAGTATGATGTGGTTATATTATTACAACAGATCAAAAAATGTCCTGTAATCCATCCAGGGTTTATAGTGTCAGCTGGTTGGTACCTGTGGTCCCGCTGGTGAAACATACCACAGCCAGATCCTGAGGTTTAGGAGGCTAAAGCCAACACAAAAACAAACAAACAAACATAAAACAAATTCAAATATCTAAAACTCAACATTTAAACAGTCTAGTCCAGTGTTCACAGCAAGCCGGCCCTGCATCACGCGATCACGTTCATCTGACACCCTCCACCTCCCCCAGCACCACCTGTCTAGATGTGCTACAGGGGATGCTATGTATAACTATTTGTGCAGCAGCAGCATAAATCTTGTGACTCGTTCACTCAGAATGCTTTTTTTCATTCCAGTGCACTGCTTCCCTATTTTTTTTTTTATGTAAACATGCACTAGATGGATGTGTTTGACAGTTATGCTTTCAAACTGTGTCTTTTGAAGTGTTTCGGAAGTCTAAAAGCTTTAAAAAAAACATGCATTGCTCAACCTTACTTTTTTCACACCACTGCCCTGTGTCTCACGATTTTTAATGCAAAAACACATTCCGCATGAATTGTCTATTAAATGCTCACAGCAGCTTGTTAGCATACTAGAAATAGCACATCTCCATACTCAATAATAACAACAGCAGAGCATATAGCAAATCAAGCCAGATAAGAATAAATACAGTAAGACTGTCATATCCATTAAAATTACTCTGAAAGAGGAAAAAAAGCAGCAAGAGCTCTTACCACAGGTGGCTTTAAACGTTCTCTTCCTAGATCCTGCAATGCATTTAAATACAGATATTTTAACTGCATTGTGAAAAATTAAGTTATAAATAAGACATTATTAGAGTACTTTTTTACAAGCAACTACTATTTCAGTATTTCTACTTCAAAACTGAATGTTTAATTCAATGTGTTACTGGTGTTTTGTTTTTTGTCTGTTTTGTAGTTGTTTGTGAACTTTACTCACAATTTCTGAGTGAAAATAGTTTCAAAGTAAATCCTACACCTTTTTTTATTTCCAGTGTGATCATGTTTTTATGACCAGCAAATAGAGACTCTAAAGGCAATACATTATGAAAAACAGGATCAAACTCAAAAGTCATAAAAATGGCATCCATGTTTACCATCCAGTAACTACTGAGTATTCAGTGCACAGGCATTAATCAATCACAATCATTTATTTATTAAAATTATTTGCATTTAATAGTCTTAAAAGCCTGTTTAATTGTAAAGGTCAAAGAGAGAATGCAAACGAGTCATGAAAATGTAAATTGCTACAAAAATGCCATAAAACTGTAGAAAATTACAACAACTGTTCAGTTATTTTAACTAGCTATTTTGTGAAAATATTCCTGACCATAATCTGTGAGAGCTGTAATATCTCCACACCACACTTCCTTCCTCTCTCCAGCAGGGCGGCGCTGAAGGGGCTAAAGAGCACCAGACAGGAGAGGGTGGGAGTCACTCCCTTCTCCTTATTCTTCAACAGAGATTCTGCCTTATCCTCCTTATCACAGATCACCATAGAGATCTCCGCTGGAGAGATATCCGAGACTATTAAGCGCTATTAAGATTAAAATGTAAATGATAGCATCACAGCTTCGTTTCGAGGTTTTATTATTATTACTCACCCAGGTTAAGGATGTGAACCATAGCCTCTAATCCAAGTGTATCGTACAGAGGCACCAGAGCCATAGAGAACGTGTAACAGGCCAGCTCTGCAATGACCCACTGCAGTCAGCAGTAGGAGACAAACAACCCGACAACATATTAGAAAAATCCAGTTATAATAAACCTGGAGAACTGTGTATTCATCTCAATGGAAGTTGCTCAGCTGGTAAGTGTTTGAAATGTGACTTTGCTCACAGGCATTCAGTGATTTAACTGGTTTGTGAACACATGCCTATTATAATAGACCAGTAGTGCAAATGCTTCTATTTTGATTTCACATCTGTGACCTAAAGATCTAGATCTAGAGTGCTAAATCGGAAGTATTTCTCAGTCATTTAATGTCATGGTTTTTCTGTTTAAATGCCTCAAAAGATCCCAGATTTTCAATCTAGATAAAGACTTGAGGCTTACGTCAGCAGTTACACACATCATTTCAGAGGCTGAAATAACGGTGAATTTGATTTAAGATTATAAAAACACACTTTGAACATAATTCTTTAAAATACCATGCACTGAAGAACTGTTCACAAATGTTCAAATGTCACAGATGTTAATCTGTGTATGATATACCTCTGGTCTGTTTTGGGCAAAGATGCCCACAAACTGCTGTGGGTTTGGTTTGCAACCCTTCGCCAGCAAACCTGATCCCAACACCTGTGCCCTTTCTGCGACCTGTAACAATCACAGTGCCATTAAAATCCCTCAGAGGGCTTTTGCTGGATTATTACATGATTATTATACAGTAATAAATGTGTTATAACATGCATTGCTCTCACCTCAGTGTAAGAGATCCACTGATAGGGCTCTCCGGGTTTCCTGAAGCCAAGACAAGGACCATTGCCTGCACAAAACATGTTACTGTTAGTTAGTATGGCTCTCTGGAATACTTGATTCTAATTTGTCATCTGTGAAATACTGTGGTCTTCATATTTTATAATGATTACTAGCTACTGAACTGTATAACGGACTGATCCGCTGTTATACATGCTTCTAAGCTTGTTTATTAATGACTTTCTATTGTCTTGGAGCTGAATAAATGACACTATTTTCTTTTTAGAGCTGTTGTAAAGCACATTTGCTTCATATTTGATGAAGTTTGCAACACTGATTTATTACTGTGAAGCTGCTTTGAAACATTCTACTGTATAAAGTGCTATATGAATAAAGATGACTTAATGACCAGCTGATTGTAAATGTTTCTTGCTTTTCTAAAATGATCCATCTTTATTTTTGTCCCATCACAAATGCTTTCTACGTTCCATGAATCCAAGCACACACAAAAAAAGCACTTCAAACTCAAGCAATCGACCAAGAAACTATTGTACAGTTCATTCGCTGAAGGAAGCTGCATGTGATAAAAGCATTATCGATCTGAGAAAGCCTTGCAGAGCACTGCGGTAAAAGAAAAGAAAGAAAAACTGAGGAGCCACTGAATTCATCTGGGCTCAATGGATGAAATAGTCACTCGAAATGTTTTTTCTGTATATTTATACAAACTGAAATCACACAGACCTGCTATCCGCAGTCCTCTCTGGAACATGTCGTACACTGTCTTTGTGTCCTCATAGTAAAACTCCAGCAGATTGTCATCCGTCAGTAAAGCTGAGCGTCTACAGCTCTGATCTCCCTGTAAATAAGTATATGTAATATCTGAAAATCATATGTGTTATATGACAAAGTATGATTGCTCTTGGTATATATTTATACTTTCATGCATTTCTCCATAAAAAAAAAGACAGTTCATCCAATAATTATCATTACTTGCCTAAAGAATCAGAATGATATTAAAATTGTAAATAAAACAAACAAACAAAGATTATTGGAGTGTTTTACAAGAATATAATATTTCGGGTTTTTTTCCCTTCAAAATTTCACATTTTATTCAATGAGTTAACGCTTCTTTATGTAGTGAAATCTACTAATTTCTGAGTTTGAGTGAATTTGTGTACGTACAGTAAACTATGCACAGTATACAACTTAAATGTGCTCAAATGTGCAGTAAGCAACTCAAACACAAAGTGTGATACTGTATCCCACAATGCAATGCACTCAAATTGACCTTCCATTTTCAATGCGATGAATAAAGCAGAAGCAGTATTAAATGTTCTTAATAAAAAATGATTAATCCGTATTGTAAATAAAGGTGACATGTCTCGATGACCGGCTGATTGTACATTACCTCTTACTTTCAGTATATCTGCTGTCTTTCTTCCCAGCTCAAAAAAACACCAGGTCTAAGTTGGTATGGCAGTTTGATTAGACTGTAATGTTGGCTAGTTTTTGGACATTTTTCAGCTAAACAGTGTGAAAGATCGGCTTAAGAGCAGCTTGACTAGGAAGATCAGCTAAGACCACCTTAAAGCAGTTAATACCGGCAAAACAGTTCAAGCTGGCTCTTTAGTATGGTTGACATTATTTGATTAGCCAAAAACTGACTCGACATGTAATTGAGGATCATGTGAAACAATAGACCTGCAAAAGTTTTCACATACTAAATTTAAACAGTGTACAGTATACTTTCAGCTATTCATCATTATATCCATCATATATACACTATTAAAGTGTTCAGTTAGGTTTTATTTTTACGCTTTCACTTTTCATTTTAATTTTAGTTTAAGTTTTAGTATTTTAATATTTAAAATTTTAGTAATTTAGTATAATTTAGTAACAGTTTTTGCTTTTAATATTTCTTTTAATTCGTTTTTATTGCAGTTTTAGTAACTTCAGTACTTCCACTTAACCTACTTTCATTTTGTAATTTGCCAAAGTAATATTTCACATTTTTAAGTCTAATTAAGTCTTTAAAGGAGCAGTATATAATATTGACAGCTATAGCAGTTGAAATGGGTACTGCAGACCAAATTCTAAATATTGGGGAGAGTTTGTTCCTCCCGCCGCCGCCTCCTCCTCAGACTCGGCGCTCACATGGGTTGCCAGATTGAGAACATGCTACAGAAACGAGCCCAGCTGACAATGATACTAAGTTGATGAATTGATTTAGCTGCGTTTTAATATTCCTTTGGTCATAGAGTTTTTAGATGGATAGGTTGGGTAGAATCTGCGATCTCTGACCCAGTTTGTTTGCTGGATTCCATGGCTGCAATACGCTGTGTTTTCCACCAATTGGCAACCCAAGGTGTGGAAATACTATATTGGGTAAACTGACAGTGGGTGAAACCAAAATAAAAATCAAAATAAATAAAAAACACACACATTTCAAAGTAGAATAACTGGCTGTAGCATTGTTTTTGGAGAAACAAGTATGTGAACTAATGTTTCCTAAATATCTGCAAACATGGTATTTCACGCTTTAGTAGAGTAAAAAAAATTTCATACAGCACTTTTCAATTTTTTTCAGCTAATATTTATTTTTATTGGATAGATATGAGTTTTAGTTTTGCAGTAACAACACAGTTACCTGCACAGATATGGACTGGGCCTGTAGGTCACATGGAGGCTGGATTGGCCGAGGTCTGGTCACCAGCCAGTAGGTTGTGAGAGAGGCTAGCGCTCCTAAGCCTATGATAGAGGACGGAGAAAGGGAGAGAGAGGACAGAGAGAAGGACGAGGGCAGAGACGGAAGGAGCGTCTTCAGATTGTCCATTTCAGACTTGCCATCTCCTCCAGTGAGACGCAAGGAACGTAACCAATCCTGAAACTGCATAGCTGTGAGACACACACAGATTCACTGCCATCAGCATCATCATAAGAGTCCAACACTTCACAGACTCCCACATCTCTCTAAATTATATGAAAAAGGACAAGGGCTACTGCATGAGAGCCGTTACGCACCCACAGCAGCAAAATACATATTTAAATCTGTTAGAAAACACTCTCTGTCTTTCTGTTGATTCCAGACATGCCTCACCCCTCCTTTTTTCCCCTCTCTCTCATTCCCCCTCCTGTATCCATTTCTCTCTCTTGTATTATGTTTTAAATATCTCTTACTCATATGCGAGGTATGCATGCTTAAATGTATACATTAGTTCTTGGTTTAAATGCCCCAATAAGGACATGAATGTTAGGACTACAAGGGTAAAGGAGTTTGTGATGAAACCATGAAGACAGTTCAGCATTCTTCGCAAAAGTCTATTCCTAATATGTCCATGTTTTTCTGTACATGTGGCCATTTTATATAAACACATGTTCTTGGCCAAAGATCCTATGTGTATGTTATTCATATCCTCATTGGTTAAGAGGGTGAAACTCCCCTCGACATATGCCTATATAACATCTGTATTTCTATGAATAAATTGAAGTATTGAGAATACATTTGAATGTGTGTTTTCTTGCTTCCCGGCCGTCTATCTACACTTTAAGGAACTGAGAATTCTTCAAGGTGGCAAAGAGAATTACAGAGGGACCAAATTGTTATTCTTTATTAACAAAATCCAAAAGCATGCTTTGAGAACAACTAATCTGAGAAATCTGTTGTTCACCAATATTTTGTATAGAACACAAAATAAGATATTTAGAAATGTTGGTAACCAAATGGTTTTATGACTATTGACATTCATTAAAAAAGTCATCTTTCAAAATTAGAGCCCGACCGATATGGGTTTTTTGGAGCCGATACCGATACTGATATTAGGAAGTAAAAATATCGATCGATATATCGGCCGATAATCTTTGTGTATATTATAGTACAGTACCAGTCAAAAGTTTGGACACTTTCCCATTCGTGTGTCCAAACATTTGACTGGTACTATATATAGAATACAGTATATACATAAACAGAATATATATACAGTACATAAACCAATTTTTTGCAATGAAATGTGGTGATCAAACACTTACAATGATGTGACAGAGATACGTAATGGAGGCAGGGTATATATAAAAATAAACTTTATTATCCAAAATGAGTCTGACATCAGTGCACTGAACAGTAAAGTTGAAGTTTATTCAACTTTAATTAAATTCAATTCCATTCAACTTTATTCCGTTGAAGTTTATTTCACTTCGGAACATTCATTCATGGATTTGCGCTACTGTCTTCACACACAGACAAAACTTACTAGAGAAGTGTTAAGTGTGACATAATATACCTCTGTAAATAAATACAATATAAATTCATGTCTCGCGCACTTTAATGCCCTTTGAATGTAACGTGTACGTTCCCTTGGAACTGGAATCATGGCGGAATTTCATGTAAAGTCCACTTCGCAGGGCACTTACGGTCGAATAAGACGACGCTTGAATGCTGCTGCCTGAACAAGAAACCTCCTTACTGAAGTGAAAGTGTTGACTGGTGTCACTATCTCGCGAACGCGCTGGCGGATCTCCACCAAATTCGGGGGATCCCTTCAGCTCTAGGAGCCCTCTCGAACTCCACCCACCGCGCGTCGGTAGCCCCCCGGGATCGCTTGATCGGTTGGCGCCGGACCGCGAATTTAACCACCTGTAACTCCCGAACCCCGGGGGCTATCCACGCGGGGGTGGTCTCATTCGAAAGCGGGCCTCTAGACTACACTCGATTCACGTTCGAGAGGGTTCTTGAGCTGCCTGAAGGGATCCCCCGAATTTGGTGCGGATTTGCCACGCCGTTACGGAGATATGGCCGTTCAAAGTTTCAATGGTTTTCCATAGACTTAAAGGGATCATATGATGCGATTTCAATTTTTCCTTTCTCTTTGGAGTGTTACAAGCTCTTGGTGCATAAAGAAGATCTGTAAAGTTGCAAAGACTAAAGTCTCAAATCCAAAGAGATATTCTTTATAAAAGTTCAGAGTCAGCCACACCTACCTAAAATGGCTCGTTCTAACACGCCCCCACATGTCTACGTCACTATGTGGGAATATTTGCATAATGCCGCCCAAATGTTCACGCAAAGAAAGAAGGCATAACTTTTATTCTCGCTGTAGTTTTATTGTTTCCGCCGCCATGTCGTAAAGACGCTGTGTGCTTTGTTGTGAAAGCGAAACTACTTTGTTTGGTCTTCCAAAAGAGGACGATATCTGCTTCGTCATGCCTAGAGCTGATCCGTGGCATCATACGACCCCCTTTAAGCTTTAAAGTGTTTCATCCAGGTCGCCAGTAGCAAACAATGGAGCACGGACAAACTAAGTAATTACACCATTTCAAGCATTTTATCTGCGTTATATGTCCTGTGAAAAAAAAGTTCATATCGGCGACATATTCGCCGATATCAATATATCGGCGACAGGCTCATATCGGTCGATAATATTGGCAAAACGATATATCGGTCGGGCTCTATTCAAAATATCTTATTTGATATTCCACAGAAGAAAAGTTGGATATGCAACACTTTACAATAAGGATTTATTTGTTGATATTAGTTAACTACATTAGTTAACAAAACTACTAAAACTTGAACTAAAATTTAAATGAAATGGAAAATAAAATCTGATTCAAATCTGCAAACCTGATACCAAGCAGCAAAAAAGGATGACTATTCTGTATGCTACTATAGTGCCACAAAAATGTCACATTTCACCTTTAACTGAATATGTCAAATATGGCAATTTTCACAAACTGGTCCTTTTAATAGCAGCTCGCCAAATAATCCTTATTAAAGCTGATAGAAATGTGGCATTTTTTCCACTATATAATTGCAAAGATAATAAATGGCTGTTAACCACAACAGTCAAAAACAAGCCCTGACACGCTCTACAAAGGTTTTTTTTTTTTTTTTTTTTTTTTTTAACGTAGAGATAAGGGAAGATGCCCCACTAACTGTAAGAATAATGTGCATTTACTTCCAAATTGTAACATATTTAGATACAAAGTTTTGCATATGCAGGATGATCATGATGTATCAGCCAATGTGTTTTTATATGGTGGCCGAGAGAGCTCAACGTGCTGCAACCTAAAACACATGCCAATAGAAAAAGCACCAGCAAATTAAGAATACGTCTTCATCAGTTTGACAGCACATGTGCTGCAAATACTCGCATAACAACCAAATATAGAAACGCGTTGCAAATACTCACAACACAACCAGAAACGCGCTGTAAAAATAGAAACACGCTGACACAAACAAAAAACGCACTTCAAGTAGCACAGACCACAAAGGGGGACCGCAACGATGCTTACAAAAATTAACCATGGTTTTATTATAGTAAATGTAGTAACCATGTATTGATTACCAATTGTATAACCACAGTTGTACAAAAACCATAGCTAAACTAGGTTAGCGTGGTTTATTTACCATGGTTTAACCATAGTAACCATGTTTTATTTGTATTTATTTTTATATAATAATGATAATAATAATAATAATAATAATAATAATAATGTATATATAGGCTATTTATAGTTAGCATGGTTTATTTACCATGGTTTAACCATAGTAACAATGTTTTATTTGTATTTATTTTTATATAATAATGATAATAATAATAATAATAATAATAATGTATATATAGGCTATTTATTTATTTATTTTAATAGTAAAATTTGCATTTGTTTTTTTATTTGCAGCGCGTTGAGCTCTCTCGGCCACCGTAATTATAGGAAATAAACAGAAACATCTGCTAATTAGTTGCTGTAGAACAAAACGTACAATTATTCCAAGAGGCTACTGAGATAATGTGGCCTTATTAGACTTTCTTATTAATATTATACATTGTATTTGTTTTATACATTTATATATTAGTTGAATAACTGAACCAATGACAGACAAAGCATAATCCCAGTAAAAATACATTCCTCATAAGGAAATTTGTTTTCTATTATTCATGTACAGGCATTTGAATATTTACATATTTAATTGTCTATATTTTAATTGTAGATATGTCATAACAGCAACATTATAAATGCAAATGAAATGATTTCCCTCAATTAGCCTATAGTTTGTAATGAAAAGCAAAAATATCTCAAATGTACATCTGATTTGTTTTTATTTTGAAGTAAAAAGATATCATTTTCACACCACAAATCTAAAAACAATAGTGTCCACAAATCCCTCATTAACAAACAAACAAACAACTTTGGTATTAAACATCATGGATCGCTATTTTCCAGAGACACATGACATTTTGCAGTAGAAAAACTCAAATTGCAATTTATTGTAAAAGATACTTCAGTGATTGTTTGAATCGAAAATCAAGTCAAGACACAATACAAAGCAGAGCAGTTAACTGCGGTAAAATTAGGGAGGCAGAACATTTTCGGTACATTTCTGGAATTTTTGGAAACTTTCCAGGATTTTTGGGACAACTTTGGAAAGTTTACGGAAATTTTTACCTTGAGTGACCTACTGTTATTAAAAAAACGTGGCGACTCCAATATGCTAAAAGATAATAATAATCATTACAAAAACCACCAGCAATTATAGTCCTTTATTCTAACGCTATGCTGAAATGATCTGGTGCATTAACACTGAATTACATTAATGTGCAGTGACTCTAAATTACTAACCGACTAATTACATTGATTTCTTGTAAAGAGGTCTGAGAACAAAACCTGGATGAAAAGCACTCAGCCCTGAGAGAAGCCAACTAATGTTTCAGCCTGAATGCCAGGAGGACGTAATGATGATTGGCCGACACACAACAGGCTCTCGGGTAACTCTCGGCCATTTTCGAGGAGGCAGGACACACACGCAGCCGAAACATAAACACAGCACAGGTGTGGAAGTGTTTCAGGACACACAGAAGGACAGGTGGAGATGACGAGAGGTGTGTTTTCTCGCTGACAGGCTT